CCCCAAAACCCCAAAACCCCAAAACCCCAAAACCCCAAAACCCCAATTTTAAATGCCAAGATTGAATTATAACTTATTCTTCTAACTCAACAAGGGCTTGAGATTCCTCTTCTCCTTCACCTTCAACATCTTTCCAGTGTTGTGAAGGGTGCACTCCAGCATTAATCTTGGAAAATAGGAGTCTCAGGACTCTTTCTCTGTCTTCCCAGTCAAGATCATTCAGATCTACTTTATCTGCATAACTTTTATTCTCATCTTGTGAGCCCATGGTCTTGCCCATAGAACCCATGGTGTAACCAAGGCTGCCTGGGACCCTAAATTTACTCTTTTCCTCAGCTATCTTCTTCTTAATCTCCTCTTTGATCTGCTCAAGTGCTTCTAAGAAGAACTGCTCGATATCACTTCTTTGCTCTATATGAAGGAAATTAATTTTTCCTCATAACTTTAATAAACTTATAATTTCAGGCTTTATTTTCACAGTTAAATTCTAGGGGAACTTACGGATAACAACATTGGAGAGACTCTTTAACATCTTGAGCTCCTTGGTTTTCTGTCTTGAGTCCTCCCTTAGGATATCTAGCTCTTCCCTCTGGCCTGATATAACCTCTTCATTCTGTTTCTTCAACATAGACTTTTCTTTTTCAAAATCCTGGACTATCTGGGACAGAGATTTCTCTAAAATTTGAATTTTGGATTTGAGTAATTTAATTTTCTTATTCTGAGTCTGTTGCCTATTGGGATGAATATAGTGTGCTTACCTCTTGGAGTACTCTTCCATAGTTTCTGCATTAAGCATCATATCTCTCTTATAATTCTTATTAAGCTTCAGGATCTGAGCTTTTTGCTTATTTAGCTTAGAAATCTCGTACCTCTGAAGGACGGATTTCTCATTCATCTGGGTGTTATTTTCATGAATTTCAACTCCTAGCTGTTTGACTTGGGTTTCGGCTTCTTCTTTATCCTTATCCTTCTCTTCCTTCTCATTAGCGATGTGTTCAACTTGTAACTTCTCGTTCTCAATGGCCATCTTGAGCATGAAATCGTACTTGATCTTTCTGAGTTTGGAGTCATAGTCTTCCTTCTGCTTCCGAAGTTGGGCCATCTGTTTGTCATATTCCTTCATTTCTTTCATGAGCTCTCCTTTGCGTTGCAGGTCAGAGGCTATCTCAGTCTTGGCCTTCTCTTCTTCTTGGATCTGGCGATCCATGGTCTGAATGATAGCCTCTTTTTCAGCAGTGAAGGCTTTTTGGAATTCAGAGTTCTCATCGTTTTGTTTTGATTCTAGTGCTTCCTTTTTCTTACGAAGGTCTTCACGACGAGTGCTATTTCTGGTCCTTGGATTTCTCTAGGTATCTGGTGACTACTTCTTTCTCTTGTTTGAGACGTTTGAGAGACTCATTAAGCATGAAGACGTCTCTTTGGTTTTCAACGATTATTTCATCAAGTTTTTCAAGAGTAGCAGTAAGAGATTCAAGTGAGTTGGGATCAGCTACTATACCGTCGATTTCTTCGTCTTCAGAGTTGCCATGGAGATCGTGGATTATATCCTCCTGGTCAGAATTGTCTTTTTGTTGTCCCAGCATTTTGGATTTTAGAATTTATTCAATTTATTATAAACTCTTTGGGGTTTTGGGGTTTTGGGGTTTTGGGGTTTTGGGGTTTTGGGGTTTTGGGG